ATGGAACTACTGTTCGTAATTGCTAATATATTATATATATATAGAGCTTTGGCAAGCATCAGTCCATCTGGTTCCCAGAGGCAGCAATGGCGAAGCCCAGCCCATTGCAGCCTTTGCAGTTGCTCCAAGGAGTGGAGCCCAACACCGTCAGCCACGCTGCTGTGCTGTCTGCGTGTGAGAAGCTGGGATACACTGATTTGCTGCCAGTGCTGACCAAGAGTGGTTGTCCTGCCTCAGTCCTTGTACGTGCAACCCATGAGGAGGCATAGCATCACCAGTAGCAGGGGTGCGAGACATGCTCTAACTGCACAGCCTTCTGCTAAGCGTGCGCTGAGGAAGGCAAATCAGTGGCGCTGGGCTCTGCATCACTGGGCGCAGATTGAAGCAGCAGGTGCTGGCAGTTTGGGTGCAACGTCGGCGTGGAGGATTTGACATGCCATCATGGTTCACTTTTTAAAGGAGTCGGCCCACGAAATGCAATCAAGGCAAGCAGCCTAGGCGGGAGATTCTCGGCAGAAGGAACATGAGAATAGGTTCCGGTAGCTTCCGGGTCCTGTTGGAGGGTGGCCTTGCAGGTGTTCGAGTGAATCGGGTGACCTACAGCGCCGTGTTCCTTAGCTGCGGCTTGAGGCTAAGGCAGCTGGGGAATGCGGTACATTTTGCTCCGTGGGACCTTGTTCTTTTAGAACCGGACCTCCTAATCTTTTCTCACACTCAAGATCCTTGAGAAGATCCTCCAAATGAGTTTGAACTCTCATGCATCCGAAGCTTCTCCCCAAGGCATCCCAAAGCCTGCAGCCCAGGATCGCTGCTGCTGGTGCGGGGAGCCACTGGGATGCGGCTGTGCAGCTGCTGTCCGAAATGTGGGACCGCAAGGTAACGCCTGAGGCTTTGGCTGCAGTTTGGAGGGGAGTCCTTGAGTTTGATGCAGCTGCGGATTGTTTGGGACAACTACTGTATCGAACTGCTCGACTTTTCCTGAAGAGGGCAGTCAGACCTGTTGAAGATGAAGCCCAGCATGCTAGAAGGCACGATCTTCCTGGGAACTTCACCCAATCGCTACTTACACTGTTTGACGGCCCCTCACTTGCTTTTTGTCAAGTCAAGGCTGCGGGAGGGTTTCGGAAAATGCTGCTGTATCCATGAGCTCACCGGGCCCAAGGACCTGCGCAACTACACCCTGGCGCTGAGCACGTTAGAGCAAGCTCGCCAATGGGAGCTATCCGTGTCTAGATTCAACTGAGAGAGCCCATCACTGTGCAACCTCTCAAGCTGCTTGGCTGTAGCCTTTCCCTTCCATTACCACTAGAGCATGAGCTTGGGCTTTGAGGTTCACTTGCTGACGGAGATGCGCCGCCGCAAGCTCAAGCCTGATCTGAGCCTTGGCCAGGCGGATGCATGACTATTGTGTGATCAAGCACAAGAAGCAGTCAATGATGGAACGGGATATTGCGATCAGGGATGATAAGATTATGTGTAACTAAGTGCAGCTACATCTACACACGTTTCTATCTATCTACTTACGTTCGTACGTATGTATGTATGTATGTATACATATCAATCTATACGTATATTATTTATTATACCCTCCGGTAAAACTCAAGACACACTGAGTGACAGGACCACGGCAATTGCATCAAGCACGAAAAAGGAATGGCTGTCCTGCAGTAGCTCACCATTCCCCAACAGTGGCAAAGTAGGACAAGCAATGCGAGCTGTTGCTTGTGAATGCCAGTGTGGTTCTGTCTGTATGCATGACACAGTGTAAGCCACAATTTGATGAGCAGCGCCCCATTCCATGTGAAAAGTCTCTCGAGATGAGGATTTGCCACAGCATCGTTACTCAGCTCGAGAAATTGGGATGCTTTGGTTTTGTAAGCGTAACCTTTTTTGCCGTTTGTCATGGCAAGCTTTTTGCAAGCAGACAAAAGGTGAAGAGAGCTCGCTTCGCTGGCCGCCAGGGTCGCCGCAGTTCTCGAAAGAAGCGGGTCAAGATGAGGACTGCGCAGGGTTGGAAGCGAGCAAGTGACGCACAAAAGGCGCCATGACCATGCTGAATGTTTTCATGCAGAAATGCCACACCTCTGCCAGTAAGCTGAGCCGTAATGGCATAGCATATGCTTGAAATCGGCGATGCTTTCCCGTCATCTGGCATGAATGTCATGAACCTCATGAGATTTTTGAGGAAGATAGTAAAGCGACCAGCTAGACACACAAGATAAGAGCATATAAGAGCCATACTTTGAAACCGGCTTCGCCAACTATTTGGGGCGCTTGCCTCCGACAGGAGCTCCCACGGCCCGTACCTGGAGCACCCGGACGAGCAAAAATGCACACGTGGTTCGCGGCGAAAGTAGGTGGACCACAGAGAAAGACTACAGATGACCTCATGTTTGCTATGGCGCATGACATGTGTGAAGAGCTCCATCAGAAAGTGATCCATTCTGCAACTGGTTCCACTGCCTGTGGTCCCTTCCATCTAGAGACCCTGGCGAACACATGATCTTCTTGATTGTTGGCTTGGCCGCTCGTACTGTTTTGTGCTGCCATGCCAGGCTTATTAGAACGGACCGAGCGCACATGGTCAGCATCAGCCACACAAAAACCGTTCACCCTACCCATGACGCTAATCACCTGCCTTGCAACAATTCCACACACAAGCAGGCATCTGGGCATGTTGAAGGATAGGCTACAGAAACCCGGTAGGAAAAGTTTTCTCGTAAGCATCCCAGCCATCAGCCGAGCATTTGCATTCCGGATTTTGAAGCAATGGTAGAAGCTACTGCAAGCGAGGATGATCAGGCTGGATTGCCTTCGAATTCATGAATTCATGAGATTGCAGCAACCTGGGCGAACGGAACGGGTCATTGATATTGCTCAAAGTTGACATGTCAGTTGGAGAGATCTGAGCGAGAAAGGTACACCAGCACATTTTGGAGAACCTAACATGGCAAGGTGGAACAGGCGGCTTCGGCCCTAGGCAGGTGGAGGTGGCGTGCGCGTGCTTTGCAAGCGTATCGAGTTTGCTAAGACCAGAACGGGATTCTGTAGGGGGGTGCGTGAAAATCCGGATCGCCATCTTGCTGCTCCCAGCCGTTGCACATATGGCAACGAGCAATCTGCCTCAGAAGTGCAAGAGCAAAAGCCTGAGCACCTAGATCTATGCATACCTCTTGAAACCTCAGCCCCAAAACCTAGTCAAAACAGGAAGGTCAGAACTCCCAGGACCAAGTTGCCTAAAATATTTTCCATCAGACCAAGAGCCAACCTGTTTCCAGCCCTTATAGCACCTCGAGCCCTAAACCACACCTAGCCTTCCCAATTGAGCAGATTGTTTTACATAGGGAGCCATATAGTCCCCAACGCACAGTAAGGTTGTTTCCTTCTGTTGATTCTACTCGTTACGAATGGCAATACGGCCTTACTTGGTTCAACCACCATAACGCGCTACTCAATTGGTTTGCCATTGCCGGGCGAGTTCTCATCGCCATGGCTGGAGGGGAGGAGGAGCCAGTTGTCAGTCTCACTTGCCTTGACTTGGGGTCTCCACAAATACCATATGGGGCCCGAAAATAGATTCTAACGAACACTATATTCCCTACTATAGGGATTCTCAAAACGGGACCCCGCTCATCTTTTGGAAAACCTCAATCCCGAATCTCAAGGTGCAAGCATGTCGCAGCATGTCACTTATCACCCGCGAGAAACAAGGGGTGGACTGCCATCGTCAGCAGGACCTGCCTGCGGACATCAAAAAAGAGGTCGTGACCTGGCAGGCAAGAGATTAGGCGGCAGAAAAATATTCGACAGTTCTCTAGAAGAGATTGCCTGCCTTCGTGCTCGAGCTAGACCCCAAAGATGTTTCAGCGATGTTGAGCCAAGCATCTCCACCTTTCGACTTTTATTGGCAAGAGGAAGTTGCGTGGTCTTCAACTATCTTCAAACACTAAGATGAGCGAAATGCCGGTCCCAGGAGGCTGAAACATGCAAGCATGCAACTCGACTTGCCGTGCCAGCAGCGCGATGCTCGCGGCGAAATCATGACGTTGGGAAATATTTGTCCCGAATTCTGCATTGGGCCTATAATCTAATGAGGGCATCCGTCGTCATGAGTTCATGCCAGGAACTGTTCACCTGATTATGGGGAACTGATGTGGATTATGCCGTCTTGCATGTTCTACTTTGGCACTTGCGATCGCCAGCTACCGACCTGTTAACGTTCGCGCCTGATCGGAGCTCAGGTGACAAAGGCCGCATACAATGCCCGAGCACCCAAGCCGGGAGACGAGGCAGACAGTATGGGGCACAGCAAGAACCTAATGGAAGAAATTATTGTGATGGAGAGCCATAGGGAAAAATTAGGGAAAGTGCACACCATTGAGGACGCCCAGCTTTATCGCCCACAGGCCTGTTCTGCCCACCAAGGTTTTAAAGCACCCATAAGAGCTGGCTTCGCAGATGTAAGATCGGCTCCACGTGCAGTCGGAGTTGCTACCAAATTGGCTCAAAACATCCGAAGTCAGCCTTCAAAATTTCATCAGACTGTAGAGGCTGCTTACCTTTTCCATGCCGTGGTTGCGCACCACATGTAAGGGAATCTCAGGCACAATGTCTGCAGAAGATACTGTACGGGACTGGCAGTGTGAATACCCCAGAACCCGCCAGACAGGCAAGCCCTGTTTTGCTCACCCAAGCCGGAAGAACTTGACATCCCATGCTTCAACATTGCCTCCGTCTGCATCCCCAAAGTTCCAAAGGTTGAGATCCGCTTCGTGGCCGTGGTGAACAAGTGGCCGGTAGAGACGTCAAATGAAGTTCGCTTCAAGCTGGGCCGTGGTGAGGACTGGGGTGGGGAATTGTGGGGAGACAAGTGTTCCGTGTCGGCCATCTACTGCGTGACTCATTAGCTGTGCCGGTAGTTTTTGGAAAGGAGCTGACTACACGCATTCATGGCCATCTTGCAACCGCATAGCGGTCTCAAAGCGTAGACAGTGCAGGTGATGGAAGCCTGGGATCGCGCTGTGGCCACCATGAAGAAGGCTTGAGGAGAAGCCTTGCTGGCCCGCATAATTGTAGACTCCTCCGGCTGATTATTGGTCGTGGCAGAGGTAGTGGTATAGCAGTAGAGGCAGTAGTCGTCGTCGCGTCAGCGTCGTCGTGGTTATGGTGATTGTGGCGGTGGCGGCGTCGGTGCTGGCGGTGGTGGTCTTAGTCACTCCTCCTCCTCCTTCTTTTCCGGTTTCTTTGCTGCGCCATCGCTGAGTCGCATTAATCACGTCTTCAGTCCCACGTAACTTATCACGACGCCATAGTGTTTTTGCCGCTAGATTTTGGTCTTCGGCCTCGCACTGTTGCCTCTGTGGCTGAACAGTTCTACCATGATTCCAGGGCGAAACCTCGAAGTTCACCGTGCCAGAGACTTTGATGCAGCGGGTCAGTGGGTCATAGGCAAGACTTAAGCAGAGGATCTATCCAGAAGTTGGGGAGGAGGATTTCCAGCAGGCATTGCAGGGCTGGGCCGCGACTAATCTTGGCAACATCAGACTGATGAGGCTAGTTGGGCCACCTGTTATTGCGCATCCCTTGTGGCTATTCATCCTAATCACAAGATGAGTTCCTACTCCTCCATGCCCCTCGTCAAAACACGTGTCCATATTGTGTTTCTTGTACCTACACATAGGGCTGAACAAAGATCCACAGAAGGTAGAGCCCAGAGCTCTGAAGCAGCCACGCTGGAAAGTTCTGCGTTGCATTGAGGAGATGTACCTCTCAGGAGGTCCTGATTGCTGGAGGAAAAATCTTCCAGATGATGGACAGGCCGTATTGTAGCCAGCCTAAGCTCGCAGTAGCTTCACCTTCAAAAGGTGGCACTTGGCCAGCTGGATCGGACGTTGGCTAGTAGTTGGAGCATGTTGCAGCCTCTTGGGCCCAGTGGGGAGGCGAAGGACCTACCAACTGAGTGTGATACGTACAAATTGCTGAGCAAGCTCTCTGTGACGCTGAGAATCAAGCCGAGATTCGCAGCCTGTGGAAGGATGTCATCTTCGAGTTTGAGCTAGTTGCCGTCAGACCTATCACGGACCTGTTTGGCACCTCTGCTGCAGCCCTACCAGAAATGCCAAAGCAAAGAGAATGAACAGCCCAGGCAATTGGCAAGGCAACAAGTCTGTTCAATTTCATGATATTCTAGATATCCGAGCTGTCGTCATCTCAGACTCAATGCAAGCTGCGCGCCAAGGGGATGGCGGTGTGATCCAGAATCTCTTAGAGGACTCCATCTAACTGCCTGCGCACTTTGCATAAAAGATGCACGTAGCCGCCTGGAAGCTTCATGCTTCTTTCATTCTTGCAGGAGTCCGATGATTATGGTCAATCTCCAAAGACCACGGATGAGGTCCGCCATTTTGTGAATGAAATAATCCCAAGCATAAATCCGGTCTGATGTGAAGACCTTTCTCCGGTTCCTGGAGTTGCCAGTGCAGCCCAATGGCAGCGACATCCACCATGCCTCAGTCAAAACTGTGCTCCGGTCAGGTCCAGATCCATTTTATCACTACGGTGAAAGTCAGCGACGAGGTGGGCCATGCAAAAACTGTGTCAGCAAGTGATTGGAAGATAGGATTCATGACCACCACTTCGACACACGCTTGATGCTTGTTTCTTTGTAGAACCATTTGGGGCAACACCAGTTCTGGGAGCGGGTGTTTTGGGGGCGTTTCACCTGAGGGTCGCAACGATGGCAGCGAGGGTTTGCAGTTTGGAGGGCTCGCAGTACGAGGTACTCTCTCACACAAGGCGACAACTTGCGGGGGATTGACTTGCCTAGCAAGACATGATGAGTGTGACTCATGTGTTTTTAGGATACTAGGATGCTTATGATACTTACTTTAGGGCGGCAGTTCCTAACTGTTTGTTGATTCTTTGTTGCCGCTGCCCTTGCCTTTGCTGCATTACTCTGTTCGATTCCCTCTGGGCGCATCAGTGATGGTGCCTGTATCCTAAACATCGCTATAGAGTATGTGAGCTCTTCTTGTAACGAAACGGCGAGGAGACAGCACCACTGGTTGAGCAGGGCCAGTCCGTTGATTTTCGGCTTCTCTGCTGCACATCGAACCAGGTTTCAGGCATGGTTTCGTGCCGGGTAGCAGGTCCCAACGCCTGGGGCACTTTTCGTGCCGCTGGAGCATTTGGCCCACATGCATTATTTGAAAAGGGAGGGATTTAGTTTCTCTTTGCTGGCTTTACGCTCTTCACAGGTACGTTTTGTGTTTTGGGGAGGGTTCATTGTGGGAAACCGTAATGTTATGCCACAACTGAAGCGCAATTCTGACCAAAGTACCCGCCCAGGATGGCTAGCCCCAGTCTGAACAACATGCTTTGTGCAAAGGCCGCTTGGTTTGACCAAACTTTGCACTATGGTGCGTTTCCTCATGGGAGGGATGGAGGGGTGTCATCGAATCCGGGACTAGCTTGCTAATTCCAAGGAAGGCTGTTCGAAGCTATTTGCATATGTGTCGCCCTGTCATCCTTGAATGGCTCCACGGACAAGTGATGTTGGCCCCGGTGGATGGGTGGAGCGATGTCCTAGACTTGTAGGTGGCAGGATGGAATGAATCAAAGGCACAGCATGTGGAGCTGTGGTTCTTTGACTACGGTACCAAGCAGCAAGGGCAGCTCAGTACATTACTGGTCCCTGCACAACTTGTTATACTCCCAGTCCATGATGTTGTTGGGTGTGTAGGGGAGCAAACAGGCCATCCACAAGGCGCTGCTGTCAATGAAAGCTGGCACGTGGCTTGGTTGCCAGAAGCCGTCAAGATGTTGCAGCAGTGTACGCAGACAATAGAATCTTCAATACGTCAATTGGAGTATCACATGGACCGTCACCTCTTGCAAGTTGATAGCATGGGCAGTCTGGAATGCGAATGTGTGCGACAACTTCATATTACTCTGACCAGGAGTGTGCGGCTTGTATGCCGCAGCGACTACGCGGCTGGAGATCAGGGCGACGAGGAGCTTGTGGATTCGTGAGAGGATCTGTTGTAATGAAGTGCCATACCTGATGCAAGCATCTGCAAGTTGCCCAGAGCCCACAACTCGACAGGAGCGTGGAGTGCCTCCCAAAGCTTCTGTGGTGGTGTGCCTTTCGTTGCTGCAGATCTACGAGTTCGACGATGCCGGCAAGAAAGCCTCATGGGACTCCGTGGTTCAAAAATTGAAACAGAGGCAGGAAGGCTATGTGTCATGCATGCAGTTGAGAGGTACATGCAACAGCTGTTGGAGCCAAAATGTGGGAAGGTTTGCGCAAGTTTTTCGGGTCCAATGTCAATCACAAACGGTGCCATGTCAAAAGAGGTGCTGGCTTTGAGTGGTGAATCTCTACACATTCTACGAATGTCAAACAAGAAGAGCTGGCGGGTAAGAGGTTGAGCAGTGGGAATGTGCAACATGTGTCGTTTCAATACCAAGCCAAGGAAGAGAATTTGGTCGTTAGGAAAGTTTCTTGGCCGCAGTTGGAACTGTGCGTGCGTGGCTTCTTGTGCTATTTTGTGTGCAGTCGTCCCCCATTTGCTGGCCGGAAGAAGCGCAGCATAGGCGCCTTTGCCAGGTAAAGCAGTGACTAATTCAGCTACACTCTTGGATGAGCTTGTGGTGCCGTGTTTCCTCTGATATGTGTGGCGTTATCTTCATGATTCGGGCATGATATGCTATCTGCAAGCTGCAGCCTGGCCGATCTTGCAATGCCATTCAGAGGTCCAAGCAAACCTGCTGAAACTCGTTCTACTTGAAGAATGTCAGTCCCTGCACTTAGACTTTGTACACATTGTCGCAGGGTTCAAAGTATCAGAGCACATTAAAAGATGAACGTGCTCAGCTAAAGTAGCTTTTGTGGTTCCAAGGCCATTGTGCCAATCAGAAACCGGCTGTGTCCTGGATGGGATGGCACTTGGTGCAAGGCATGCATGAGTCATGCATGTCATGTGGTCCAGACGACAAACAGTTATGGCACAACCTCGAACGCTTGTGCCGCTTGAATTGCGCAAAACTCTTGATCCGAGTTCAATTGTGGATTTGTCCCGGTAGATGCGCACATGGTCATGCACGCTGCGACCCGATCTACAGTCCGTAGCGCATCCACCCTCCTAGCAAATGGAATGCCTGATAGCGTAGCTTGTCAGACGACGCTCAATCTGAGTTGAGAATACTGTGCAAGTAGAAGCCTCCCCATTGGGGCCTGAGAGTAGCTGTTGCATGGTACTTCCATGGCAACGCCATGCTCTAATTCTGCAGCGCAGATCTGTCAAACCCAAGACTTTTTTTTAAAGCCTCCATGAGTATCGGCAACCTTGCGCGAATGCAGGTGAAGATAAAAAGCGTGAAGGTGGGTGAGGCACGCGGACTAGACTCCCAAGGGATCACTGAGACTGTGAGCTTATCAAGTGAAACTGAAGCAAGCATGGAGGTGCAGTGGCAGCTTCGACCTCATGCAGTTAGAAAATTACCCCTTGCGCTCAAATCATGTCGCTGAGAGCGGTGCTTCGCGAGGAGGAGAAGCTGGGTGAGGAAATGATTGTGAACACCATCGTTGGCAAGGGTGAGCTGCGGCTCAGCTCTCCAGCCTTCCTATCCACCACAGGAATCCTCTACTGTAGCATTGCTGGGTTGCTGCTAGGGCCTGCTAGGGAGTGCGGCTAAGTTAGCAACATGAGGAAGCCTTGCATTTGTCATTATATGTCCACACTATATGGGGGGGCGGGGCGGGGCGCAAGCGCAGAGGAACAGTCTTGGTCGCCATGTCGGAACAAGCCAGGAGCTGGGGGGGGGCAAGCAATGGGGGGTGCCATCCTGGAAGGACAGTTACACTGAGGACATATTTCTGCGCAGGTTCACTGTCGCTTCTAGTTCACGGATGTCACCGAGGTGCGATGCTTTGGAGGCAGCTTCTGCGCGCATGCGCAAAGGACGCAACCCTTCCGTGACTTTCGGTGTGAACCTGAAGCTGCGAGACTCAACAATTGCAGCATTTTGCCAAACACAGCAGCAAGTATGCCCTATGAATCAAACCTGGAGCAAATCTCCCAATACAGGGCTAAGTTGCCGATCAGGCGCGTAATTTGCATTCTGCTCGGACAGGAGAAGTGGCCCTGATCACGGTCAAGCCCATCCCATCTTTGCACGCACCAGGGGCCCCGGATCTCGAGGCAGCAAGGACTGAGCATGAACTGAATGATTCAACAGCAGGTCTTGGGGTAAGTTGTGGTGCGCAGGTCTGTCCCTTACCATGCCTTTACTTCAGTCAAGGCGTCATGAAAGAGAGGCCTTTGCGAGACTCCTCACGCTTATCGCACAAATCTTTCTGGCTGTTCCATGGGCCCTGCGGTCATGCAAGCATTTCCGTTTGCATTCCAGTTCCTGTTTGTCTGCATCTGGCCAGATCTCGGGCACCGCCAACGTGGTGTACAATGTTGAGATGATAGACTTTGGAATCTTTGTCTGAATGGATGGCCGGGTGGAAAATCAGTGCATGGAAAATTCAGCTAATTCAATCATGCAAGGATGCCTGGTTTGTCTGTGAAGCGCACAGCTGCAAAAAACATTCTGCTGTGACACTTTCCTCGCAGGCGCGCTCAGCAGCCCACAATACATAAGAAATTGTTCAGCCCTTCGCACAACAGATTCAGACAGCCTCGGAGAATCAGAAGACCCATTTGCATATCCTGTGCGCCTCAATCTGAGCTCTTTCGTTGGCTTTGTTAAGGTAACCCACCTCCGGAGGAAGGGCCCAGCGATTCCACGGATTTGCTCCTGGGCTGTGAAGTCTTGACCTCATGGGCACTGAATGGGTACAATAGCTGTAACCCGAATTCCGCAGCTGCAACCGGTTTTGTTTGGGAAGTCAAGTTCATTGGCGGAAGACCATCCAAACTGAAGTGAGGCTGGAGTTCTGCAAGAAGCAGAAGGAGCAAGGACCGGGTCCTTGGCAAGCGGGTCACCGCACGTCGTACTTAAAACTTGTAGCATGCCCAAGAAGCACATCTTGTATTTTAGCAGTGCTGCCAAATCATTGGACGGATGTTGCTGAAGTTGTGCGAGCACTTTCCAGTCTGTTCTTCGGTCAAGGCGGAGAAGCTCAGCCAATAGCCCTTCAAGTTTTCAAGTGACGACCCAGTCTTGCCCTAAATTCTCCTTGAAATCGCGAGAACGAGAGCACAGAAGAGACAGAGCCCATTTTACCTTACCAAGCAGCCCATCCCAACATCACGCTGGAGGCTCCGCTCATTTCAAGTCGGGGCGCATCCGGCTGGCTTATGCGCCTCCGATGATTTGCCCCTGCTTATTTACCACGAATCTCAAACTCCTGTTCGTGCGGGATGGATGCAAGACGCAAGATGAATAATTGCGATAATGGCACAAAAACTGGCTGCTGTGTAAACGGAGTCATATTTCTGCAGTGGATGAACTGGTCGAGAGTGAGCATGAGTGCGCCGCAAGTTTCCGATTTCTCTATATATATATATATGCATTCGTTAGAGAACAATGAGTTCAGTAGGTCAGTAGGTGTGCTCTTTGAAGAAGGCAACGGGACGAACCATGGGACGTGCCATTTTTGGATCATGATCCATCCAGCGAAGTGACCTGACTTCCTGTGAAGTTTCTATTGTAAGTTCTCCGCGAATGACATGCCAGACCAGGAGGTGGATTTCACAGATTTCATAGCTGCGGTATAGCAAGACAGCTTTGCCTGGAAGATGAACAGACAAAAACACTTGGCCTGTGACTCAGGAGCGCTACTCAAGAGTCGTTGCCCTCACACCCCGCTACAAGCGGCCATTGGGCAGTTCTAGCAGTGTGGAGGCTTGGACTCAGCAACGTCCACGTAGCTACGAAGGGGGATGTAGATTACTTCTGGCAAAGCTCCATGACTATCCATGACTTCCCCCCGCGCGTTTGAACATGGCAGTTCAGGTGGCACACATGAGACAACTATTTGCTTCATGATGGGCCGCGAGTTCTAGTGCTTGCTTTAGCTTGCTCTTTAAAACGGCTTCCCAATCTCATCTGTTTGGAAAAGACACAGACATTTGCAAAACAACGCCCATTCATCCTTGGAGCGAGATCTGAGGCATGGCTTCATACCCAAGAAACGAATGCATTCAGGTGAGGTATAGTGTAAGACTTTCTCGTCAGGTTTTCGAGGATCCAGAAGAGCGGAGAGAAGCTGAGGAGTGCAAGCCCTTGGAAGATCAGTGCTGGTGCACGGAATGGCCAAGTTGTTTGCAACTGGAGGCTTGCGGATGCAGTAATGCAGCATGCAGCATGGTGCCGTTGCGCTAGGAGCTGAAGAAGACCTGCCGGCTAAATTTGGCCGCTTGCGCTCCATGGCTGAACCATGCTTATAGGCTTTCACCAGCTTTTTACCTGGCCTCCGCCAAGCCAGAAGCGGTATAAGGCCTTGAAGCTGGACCTGGCATACTCTGCTTCCCGCTTTTGCGACGAAGTGCTGAAGGAGGCGGGGCACCCCCCGAACCGTCAGCTAAGCAGTGAAGGCAGCCGAGAGCGCGTTTACCTCGGTCAGGAGCCTGGCAACATCAAGGCGCTCTATCGCCGCGCTCAGGGTCTCCTGGGGTCAAATGACTTCGAGGAGGCGCCGGTCCTTGAAGCTGCAAGGATGGGTCATACATGTAGGAATCCCCGAGAACCGGGAAGATCGTCTCTGGGAAGTGTCACCACGCAGGCAGACCCTACGCAGCAAACAGTGCGTGGCACATCAACCGACACAACGAAGCTAAACAAGCAGTCGACCGGAGGCTTTCTGATCCGAGCAGCCTGAAACATTTTAGGCTTCCTGCTTCTATCCCGCATGGGTTCACTGCAAAAAAAACAGCACTTGGAGGCCGTGCGCGACTGCAAGTCCATCCTGGAGCTCGAGCCGACCAATAAGGTGCGAGAGGGGGTTGGCGTAAGATGTGCTAGAGACATCTGATGACATTCATGCAGACAACTTCCGACAGCTGAGTAGTGAAGATTGCGCACGTGAGCCAGAGCTCGTTGCAAGCCTGCTGATCTCTCCAAACCAGCAATGCAGCCTGGCGAGGACGCCAGGCTCCTGATGCAGAAGGTCAAGCAAGCCGAGAAGGCAGGAATGCTGAAATGGCATGGAATCACTAGTGACGTCGCTCAAGCAGATGAATCCTGCTGTCCAAGCCGTTCGATCATGACTAGCCCGTGCAATGTATGCCATCAGCTCCTTGTGGAAGCTTTACATGCTTGTCCGCAAATCAACTTGGACCCTACCGGCTTCACTCAAAGTATTTCTGAACGTGCCAGGAGCAGCTGAAAAAGCAGAAGGAGCGGTTCGGAGCTTCTTTGGCGAGAGAGCTCGCATAGCATGCGATGCTGGCTGGGACGGTCCAGTCAGCCTCACCTGCTGGTGTTGTCCAGAGTCAAGCCTAGTCCCGGAGAATGATGCAAGGTGGGTCCCACCTAGATGCCTATTTGGGACACCACTGCAGGGAATTCGTTACAAGACTCCTTGCATGGGCAGAAGTCCCGTTGATTGATATACCAGCCTAGCCTGGGAGTGCAAGGGTGTGTGGTGCCACTGCTGGAAGAAAGTTCTTGGAAGGTGACCATCCGTACATGCTACCCGGGGCTCGTTTACAAATCGCCACAGCCCTTGTTCGCCCGCTTCACCTTACCTCATGCACCAAATCTGGGGTTGTGCTTCCTCATGGCGCCCTGCTTGCTCCTCCTGCTGTCAGATGATGGCATGCACCTTCTACTGCCTGATGCTGCTGTCCTGCCGAAGCGTTTAGTTTCAGCCTTGAAGGCTCGTGACGACACTGCTTAGGTTGTAATTTGTTCGATTGAGGCGTATTTGGTCAGTGATTAGAAGTGGAGTCGACTGTAGGTAACTGAGAAGGTGACGATTCAATGGACTCTGCAAAAGAGCATATCCTCTCAGACACATGAATGACGTTGCATTGCTTTATCGATTCAGACTTCTAACGCTGGTAATGCCGGTCCCGTCGCCTTCGCCGGCAACTGCGGGCATCACAGAATGCACAGTGCAGGTTGAGCGCGACTCGGCTGCACTTCTGCAGAAGCATCTGTGGGTACAGAGTTTGGGCTGTTATTCGTGACTGCCTCACAGGCTTTGCTTGCGGCCTGACTATGGGACTGCTGTCTTGGAAGAACGGCCAGGAAAATGTCGCCGGGCTTCAATGGATCTCAAGTTACAGGGAAGATCCGTAATTTGCAGGGCGGCGGTTTTCAGGATGCTGGGTTCGCCTGTTGATGCTTTCGATGTGGTGGGCATCCCACGCATGACTTGTATTGCAGGAGTGGAAGGCGCCAAGCAATTCTTTAGGGAAGTCACCCAGCCCAGGTCGAGTTCGACCTGTACGAACTCAAACCGGGCAACATTGTGATTGGCGAGGTTTGCCAAGGCCTGTGGACTTCCCATGGCCGCTTCTGTAAAGATAAAACAGGCATCAGTAGCGTCGGCTTGTGACAATGAAGGCCCCCTCCCCGAAAATTGGAGCTGCTAAACAAAGGTCCCCAAATTCATGGGTAGAAGATGTGTCGAGGATCAGGAGTGTGAGTAGTTCAGGTTCACTACTTGACACGGGTCGCAAACACCATTGATTTTTCTTATGCTCCTGTGAAACCATCACTCAATTGCACGGCCTCGTTCTTAATGTATTCCCTGCAGACAAGTTCGTTCTAGACCTTGACCTGCTAGGCCTGAGGTGGGCATGAAATGACATACGTAGGAGATCAAACCTGCGCCAGTTCCTCCAAAAAAAAACTCCCCTGAGATCTTCCCATCCAACCTCTTTGCATGACCCCCCCCCTCCTCCACCAGAATGTGAGTTTCTCAAGAATGCCTCTTTTGCACCCGCTGTACTCCTTACATATCTACGGTCCAAAGGGCCTTCCCTTCCTCCTTGCCAGACCTGTGGAAGGCCCCCCACTCTTCGCAAAGATCTCCTGGCGTCTGGTTGCCTCCACCGGCAGCAGCAATCGGCTCGCGGAAATTCGAAAAGGCCCATGCTTGGAGCCCTAAGTAAATAAATGGAGAACATTTACTTTAGGCGCAAAACTCTGTGAGCACCTACTGCTTGGGGCTTTTTGTTGACCTAGGGACAGGTTCGTCCTGGGGTTTGCGGTACGGATCTGAAACACTCAGAGGGAACGGTATTGTGCTTAACCAGGCTTCCTACAAGGAGATGACAGACCACCCCAAGGAGAATATCATTCCAGTAGCTGTCCCGAGGGTTGTCAGCAGTGAAGGTGAGCAATGGCACATGTTGCGCACATGCTGGTCCAGGTGATACTCTCTTCTTCGCAAGCCCAAACTGGGTTTTGGCCTTTTGCAAGGCAGCTCGGCTTATCTTCCAAGCTTCGGGGGTAAAAGTCCTATTGTATAGACCAAAGCTGCATCTGATGTGGTTAGTGCTTTGGCCTCAGGCTTGTAGCAGTTTTCGGGGTCCTCGTCGCCTGCGGGGCCATTCTTTCGAGATGAGAGCGTGCATGGTTAACAGTTTGGCAGTATTTTCATTGCTAACTCTGGAAAGCTCCAGCTACTTGCTTGGAGGTTGGGAGGCTTTCAAGGTGACCTTCGCCCAAAAAGGTTCTGTTTTGGTGTGCAGCTCTGGGCGTCCTGTAAGTCCAGCAGACGACCACCCAGCCTTTTCGAAATTGAAAAAGCGCATGTTGATGGAGACATGCTGGGTGGGCGCCCCAGGCAGTTTTGTTGTTCCTTTATGCTACTTGTTGGCAAAGAGACCATCCGGCCTGGTTCAACCACCAAAAAGACAATCAACAGTGAAGTCGTGCACGTGATGTGCGCCAGGCCACAGAACAGGAAGTGAGGCAGCAACCCGCCGCTCCGTGACTTGGACAACTGGAAAAGTCTTGAGCTTATAGTCTCAGGGATGAATTAGTTGACTGCCTCAGGAGTGTGCAAAGGAGTCTATGAAATTTGGCGCGCATGGCGATTTCCTAGAGCAATCAATGCGCCCCAACTTCCCTTCCCAACGCAGCGTTGAACGACCGCCTTCTCTCTTGTATAACGAATTATGTGGTCAGCCTGAAGCCAAGTGGCTTACCTCCAAAATCACGCTGAAGTTATATCGTGCAAGACCCGAAAAAAATCAAGCATTTGTGAAGCAAGCCTTTGAAATGCGTGCACAGCCCTTCATGGCCAAAATCGGCCCCTTTCATGAGAACATGCAAAGATACCTGGCAAATCCCTGCTCAGGCGGATACCGCCTGAGCCTAGCTGGCAAGAGGACGTTTGCCGGGCCACGCCCGTCGTGCCCAAGCTGGCCCCGTGGTTGCAGAGGTGGTACGTAAGGAACATGTAAGTAAGCCTGGTACGTGTTTTGTGGCTGTGACAGAGGCATCATCTTGGGATAACATAAGGACGCAGAATCGGCTGGACGGAAAAAAGTCTAGTGATTGTTGGGCACTTCATTGCGTCTCTAGTCCAGTTATGTTACATAGTGTGACAGGATATGCTCGAGGAGTTGTAGTGGAAAGGCCCAATATAGAATGGCTCATGACTGTAAAAAAAGGCCCTTACACCACAAAGAATATATCCACGCATTTCGTCGACTCCCGCACTACTTACTGGTGCGAGGGGAGTGAATATAATTTCGTAAGGACTATTAGGGGGGGGGGGTATCTATGACAATAGTCTTTGTCATCCATTCCCGCACGCTCCTTTGAGCACCCGCCCCTAAACCCTAAACCTTGCGGTCCCTCCCTGGCGAAAGGATTTCACACGGCTCCGGTCGCGGCAGAACCAGGGCCTTTTCGCGGACTGCCGACAGATGACCAAGTGCGCGGACGTTTCCCAGTGTTTGTAGCTGAGATATGGTCATTGTCCCTGGGTCGGTGCTCAATTCCTGCATTCGACCATACATCCTGGAAAAGAAGACAAGGCAGAGAAAAGAAGAAGCAGCATCCAGGAGGGACCTGAACAGTTTGAGTCAGTACGACTGCTATTTAGCAGTCCATTTTGCAAATGGCTAGGGATGAACCTGTCCCTTGCACAGCGGAGGCTTTCAATTACTGCATGAGAAGGCAGCTTCGACATTGGAAGGCTGCCCTAGTGCCTTGTTGTACAGCCTGAAGAGGGCGCTTTAGAAAAAAAAGGACTCTTAGCCCAGATAAGGGCTACTGGTATGGAAGCAGAATGGAAGAGGGTTGGATCTAGCTCCCCAGCAGTGGAAAGAAACCAAAGTTCTGCCGTAGCCTAGTGGGCATCAGCAGGGCCATCAGCGTAGTTGACTGCTGAGCCTGCATGTCAGCGACAGGCTTCAGCTCAAGACCAAACAGTATCTATTGATGCTGCCGCAGCCCCAGCCAAGGGTAGTGCCAGTGCAAAGAGGAGGCACCCTGTGGCCTGATAAGCTTGGAAGAATCAGGCATGGGATGGGTGGCATTTGCGATTTTCATGTGCAAGGTCAGGAACTTTTTTTACGGCAGCGCTGCAAGTAGAAGCGCCCATTCTCAGGTGTGAATACCAGGGTGCCAACCCTATACCTTTGCAGTCATGGCGGCCCCTCAAACCACACTTGCTTTGCTGACCTAGGCTTTGAAGCTCGCAGAAGGAGCGCGAAACGAGGCAGGTCAGAAAGGTTTGCCAGGGAATGCCGTCGCTTCAGCTAAACGATGTGAATGCGGAGAAGGTCTTGCAGATAACGTAGACCCTGGAACTCTGCTTGTGTACAAGCCTCTTCACTTGCTACACCTTGTTCCTGATAACAGTCAGGAGAAGGTCCTGGGAGCCACCCTGGTCCTACGCGTGCGACCTAGAAGGGCACACGCTTAAATTGGGACTTTTCGAGCTTACCCCGATACAACAAATTCTTCATACTCTACATCCCCTTATAGTTCCTGGATGCGTCCGGCGTCCCTTCAAGCCCCTGTTGTAAGAGATCACATTTTTTTTAGCACCGTGGATGCTGCATTCTGGGTACAGCCTCCAAGCGCGGGCTTCAAACATTACGTGCATCGAAGAACAATGTTCATCATTTTCAGGCTGTTTCCTCCGATCTCTCTACCAAACCTGAAGGCTGTATTGTGGATACTCATAAAAGCCTTTGTTTGTCACGTCGTCTTGTTGGGAAGTGATTTTACTTCAGCTGTTGAGCCTTTGACTGTCAGCCGTATACAAATACCTTCACGATGAAGGCTGAGAAAGCCTCACAAGCACCTGAGGAGTGCTTCAGAGGATTTAGCCTGTCTGCTCCCTAAGATCACCACAGCCACACCCTCCTGGACATTGCTGGTGGCAGAAAACAGCTGGAAACCCAGTTCCGTAGATGGAGTTTCTGCACAGAGCCTGAGGCTTCATTACCCGTGTCGACGTCGAT